AACTTCTCTTTGCACATGTTCCCACTATTGCCTTCTTTTTCCCCCACAGCTTGAGAACCAGAATTTCTGCCTTTATGATTTTACGCATGGAAAAGTAAGCATATACTTAAACATTTTTTTAAGGTTTAATACTCAAGTCCAGCTCTACTTAAGCAAAGAATTCACAGATGATATTTACAAGTCCAGTGTAATTACTGCAGGGTTGAAAAACGAGTTCTGTGAGTTACGGTACATCATTGTTTTTCTTTTTTCTTTTTTTTTAATGTTACAAAGAACAATGTGCCTTTCATTTCCTGCAGTGCTGTTAAGGTACTTCCAGCTCAAAGCAGCGAGAATACATTAAGACTAAAAAGCATTTGGTTTGGGCATTAAACAGTTTTATTTTTTAGATAAATGCCTCTTCCTCTACAGAAAATGTTTGAGCAATGAATTTGGCACACATTTGTAATCAGCTGTAATAATGAATACTGTCTTGTTCACTTGAAATAGGAGAATTTACCAACTTCTTGAAAAAGAATTTGCTAATCTACAATTAAAGTGGTGTGCTAATAACTTTGAGTTATCAAATCACAATACCACATGCTCGAGAGACATCAGTTGTCTGTAGAAAATGACGCAGCATTCTTCCGCTTTGCATAGCGCACTTCGCGTGTACCTTTACGCCGCAGTTATTAATTTGCCGGTACTACCACACCAAACACAAACATCACTTGGTGGATGTCTGACAGTCATTTACCGACAGCAGTAACACAGCGCAGTACCACAATTATTAACTAGTTTGTGCTACACCCTCCTTGCCTTTCTCCAGAGTTAAACTCCTGCTGGAGCAGAGCGGGATTTGACTTCTAATATTCGATGAATCTCTGAAAGCTAGAATCACAAATATCCCCACTTTGCAGACAAAAAGACTGCAAAGTTTTCCCACAAAAGTTTAAAATAATCCTACTTACAAAAAGAAAATCTATTCAATAGCCGTTTTCACGACTGAAAGAGAGACTAAAAGCCCTAGAGAGAGTCCACGGCAGTGCTGAGCTGGGAATTCAGTTGTTCCTGATCCCCAGGCATGCAGTCACTTCACTACATCAGACTAGCCGTTTTGTCATCCTCAGTTCACTGAAAACTAGTTTGTTTATAAAATACAACACTAAACCAGTGCATTTAACAAGCTTCTAAAATCAATAAACTTTTTTTTTGATTAGGTGAATTGCAAAATCACTTTGCAGTGCCAACTGAAATGAAACTTTTACATACCATTAGGCAACTACAAAAGTGGGGAATTTTCCACACGGGTGTTCCACCCAGCTGGTCATAAAAAAACCTCATTTGAGCAAAAATATCAGGACATCGGAACATGGTCCTGCCTTTCAAATGAAGTTGCTGGTCTCTTTCATCATCCCTCCTGCAAATTTCCTCACCCACATAACGAACAGACAAATTCTGGGTTTTCTTCCTCTCCCTGAGAAGCTCTTTCCCATGCTAACGGACCTGAGAGACAGCAGCACCGTGCACACCATTCAGTTACACGTTAGCTTTACCCTTGGTTCCAGGATCAGACATCTGGACTTAGACCATGCAGGCCTGAACGAGCCCAGTCTTGCCTGCATGTTTGCTTTTCATGACCATCATGCTGGATATCTCTCTCTCTCTTTAGAAAAAATTAAATTTCTGTAAATTTTTGCAGTAGTGATCGGGCAAGTCACTGCCTGAAAACTACTCTGGCTTAATGAAGGCTGAAGAAAAGGCTAGAGCTGGTATTCCTGGCATCACTGAGAGCAGAAGATGTCAACATCTTCTCTGCCTGTCATGATTCTGCTCCAGAAAATGCAACCGTAAAGCCCACTAGAAAAAAGGAGTAGCTCTAAAATAAGAAAAGCTTTTTTTTTTTCCCATGAACTTCACTTTAATGAAGGTTAGACATAGAGGCTTTCCAAAATAACACATATAATTTAGAATGATAAATTAAAATCTGTAGTAGGAGGCCTTCATTTTCAGGGCTGTATAGTTGACCCTTCTGAACCCACATTACTCAAGGTATGCAAAATATATGTGTATAATAAATAGCTCTAGAATTTATGGAGTGGAACAGAAAGGATATTAACAGGCAAGTAGAGAGGCTGTATAACCCTCACAAGGCCTTTAAAGATTTATTTTTTTTAAATGAAGGAATGCATGCATGTAAAAGGTAGTACTTAATCGATAAACTTCTTTGTGCCTTCCAGAAACATATGCGAAATGATTCCAAATCTGCCTTCAATCTGGTCATTCTGCTCTTAGCATCAGTGGGAATAAGATTATTCACAACACTATTTTTCTTTGATTTAAAAAAAAAAATATCCTCTCTGTGTGGGCTCATTCCCACTCTCAGTAAAATCAATTACAAGACTCCCATTGACTCCAGAGGGATTTGGATCAGGCCCTGTGGAAGTGGGTCTACAGCAAGTGTAGAACAACGCAGTTAATATGATTTATTGTGTCCGTCTCTGTGCGTGCAGTTTTTCATTTTCTAAAGCCTGCAGTTTTGCTTTCATCCTCACGTTCAGTAGATAAGAGCTGCAGATCTGTGTTGATCTACACACTGGGTACACTGCAAGCTGGGGGCTGTGTGTGCTGAGAATGAGCTCAGCGTCTGCCCAGGGGGAGCAAGCAACCCCTTTAGGGCCAACAGACTGTGTTAGATGCATTTGTAAAGAAAATCTCCCACACAGGCACTGCAAAAGGTGCGTAATCAGTTCGGAGGCTTCTGCTGTGGTGGGGAAAAACACCCTTTAGTAAAACTGAGAAAAAGAAAAATCCTTTTCCTGTTTATTAAAAAAAAGTACCTTTTGCAGGTCACTGGTAAAGTTCCAAGAATTCACTAAAAGCTTGTTTTACAAGGAAGACTCAGGCTCTGAATCAGAGATATTTAATTTCACTAGGCTCTTACAGATTTTACATTATTAAACACTGATATTGCTGCTTTTCGGGGTGGTTGTTTGGTAACAGGCTTCCTTAAGACTAAGAAACTGCAGGGTAAGAAGAACTGAGGTTTAATAGCTGTGAAAGACTATTATCTAAGTATGAAATAATAACATACTTGGTGCCTAATACATTCTACATTAAAATACGATTTAATAAACATAGGCAACATATTCCCCATCAAAAAAAAAAAAGCAGAATTGGCACAACAAAAATCACAGTTTAGTCAGTTCTTCTCTTAACCTTGCAATCCTTTGGCTACAAATTAGAATTTCTGTGAACACGATTGATAAGGGAAATTAGGCACTGTCTTTCAGAAACAACAGAAACGTTTTAAGATGGTATGTTTGGAGACGAGCAGCATAAAATCTATCAAAATATGAAACCTTTCATATTTCAATGGGAGGAAAATACAGGAAATCCTGAAGCCAAAATCTTACCAGCCCAGTGAGCCCTGTGTTCTACGTCCTACGATATATGCTGGTATTTTAAAGTTTTTTATGTACCTTAACCTCCTCTTCATCCCTTATTTCTATATGCCATTTAATCCCTGATCCAAATGCAGTTTAGATGTGAATGCAGCCCTTGAACCTCACTCCCACTTGCAGTTTGTTCAGTTGCTAATAAAGTCCCCAAAACACACGCTGAACACATACACAGCTGTAGGGATTTGAGGCAAAAGCAGTTAGTTGCTCTGTTGCACATTTTTATTATTACAGGTACAATGTTTCTACATGAGATAGACTTACATATCCCAAAAATGGTGACAGATTCTAGAGACATTTTAGAGAGCCCTTCATACAATTCTTTTCCATGTATGCACAGTAGACACCAGTGGATGCCCTATCTACATTTAGGTCTCATAAAAAAAATCTGGTTATCGATAAAAAAAAGTCAAGAAAAATTATTAATAATGGTCACTTTCACTTTGGGAGACATTATTTCTAAGTCCTAAATATAAGCAGTAAAACAAAACTCAGTTGCCAACGGGCCAACAAAAATTGTTGAGGTCTACCTCACTTAAACACAGGAAGGAAGAGAAGGTGTTCCCTTACACAGGTACTCAGCCTTTCACATACAGTCCCTACAGAAATTCGCTATTATTGAATGACTTTTTTTCAGGCTGCTTTACAAAGGCAGCCAGCGGTTCAGTAGAAGCTATTGCTTCTACTTTAAAACTGTCCCAGTTCAAAGGATACTAGTGTTCCCAAAAGTCACAGTCCTGCTGCTGCTTCCAAATAAGCTCAAGCTGCTGCCACCTGAAACAACGGTATTGCGAACATACAGAGGAGGAGAAACAAGCTCTAGCTGAGCCTCCCTGACCTGTTTACTCATAGTATCTACAACTTTAAAGCACACCGATGAAATAATACAGACCATGCTGGTAGCACCTGTATGAGCCTTGCAGTGGGTACCTGCCTGAGCAGCTGGTGGGTTTATAGGTGGGAGTCCTGCCCTGAAACGGCAACATTTGGGAGCGTTGCTGCTCAGCTTTGTTTTGCAGACTTTTGCAGTAGAGAATGGGTCTGCGGAAACATATTTCAAAACAATCGTTTTGTTTCATGGGATTATCTGAGATCCTGCACTCTAAAACGATGGCTGGCCACATACCGAAAGTTAGGTACTTCAGTGTGTCATCTGAGAGCATCAATAAACAAAATGAAGTTAAAAGCACATAGATACAAGTGAAAGTGATGAAGCACACACCCCTAGGGGGTCATGACTCACGGCCCTGGGATTGAAAGCCTTTGCTACGGAGGAATAAGGATAAGGGTTGCATACAGCAGGCTCTTTAATGGCATCTCCCTAATTAAAATTATTTTAAAAGGAAAAAAAAAAAAGGCTCTCTCCAGGACTAGAGAAACAAATGCTACCTTAGATTAGTGAAACAGTAGCATTTTAACTGAGGAGAGTACACAACCTATCTGTAGCTATCCCATGCCAATTATTCTGAATTATCTTTTTATATTAGACATAGGAAAAAAATCTTTAGAAATATGGGCTGTTTTAATATCCCAAAGCAGGAGCAGCAGGTAAGAACTTACCATTTTCTGGCTGGTCCTTAATATCAGCTTCACTTGGCTGGCTGGGACTTTCAGATTGACTTGAATCTGAAAAACATAAAATACAGCCAAAAATTACAGGGTCTGCTGTGGAAAATAGATCAGAGGCGCCAGACTTCCTCAAAAGGCTGAGAGTACAAACTAAGGACAGGAGTGTTGCACTAGGACATGATAATGCAAAGTCCTGTGCCTAGGTAATATTTTTGCTAGGAAAAAAAAAGGGAATCTTGTTTACAGCACTACATAGAGTGCTTGGTGTGTGTGTTGGCATAAATTAAGCTTTGAGAATCCTTCTTTTTAAAGAAGGCATATTTAAACTACTCTCCTACATGTTTTTTATAATGCAGCCTCTATGTTGTATACAAACCAGAGCCTTAATCCAACACATAGTAAAGTCTCAAAACATATTTTCAAGCAGGCATATAAAGGTAACTAAGCAACACTACAAAGTCGTGGAGATTGTTGTCTACACGTTTCTGGACTAAAATCTGCAAAACTGACAGAAGAGCTGATTTTCATCATACTTTCACAGTGGTTACAGTACTACGAGATCACTGCAATGTACAGCACTGCCCCTGGCTTGCAGTGGTAGAAATGAGACCAGATACTGGAAGAACTGCTTTAGAACTTGTGTAAATAATAGGCCCTACAAACTCCCAGCTAACACTCTCCAACGAACATGATTTATTTGCTTAAAATAATAAAATGCCCTGTAAAAGGGTATGTGTAAATATGAGTGTTTTGCATTTTTTACACATTATTAACTCTAGTTTATGTGAAGATGATCACTCTTTGGTTCAAAAATTATTCTTAGTAGAAGCCTTAGACAAATAGTATTTTCCTTCTTCATTATTTCTGCCATTATGAGTTGGGAAAAAAGGTCCCTTTACCTGTGTGGAAAAATATTTTTTAAAAAACCCACTCAGATTACTGTTTTTGCAATTACTACAAATAGAAAAAGATTATTTTTTTTCTTTCCCCTCAGAAATTGTTCTGTAATTTATCAATCTCATTAAAAAAGTTTTTGCTGTGAAACAAAACTTACGAAATGAAACCACTTGCTACTGCATTAAAAACACCCCCAATCGTGGCAAACCTATTTTCTGATTTCACCTTGACTTTGCAGAGTTTAGAATTAGCTGTCTGAAATTTGACCACATTTCAGTGCGAAGTCAATGCAAGATCAAAAGGTCATGACACTTAACTGTGATTAAATTGAAAATCTTACTTCTATTGCAACAGAGTGATAACACCACCCCTTCTTTTTCTTTGAGGTATTAATAGCGCTGGAAGAAGAAGTACTACTAGTGACCTTGGGTCAAACAATGCTAATTTATTGCTTTAAAAAGGTTCCTTGCTTTTAAGCAAATGAAGATTTTAATTACCGCAGAGCACTATAAAGAAAATGCCTATTTTAAATATTCAAATTTTTTTTTTTTTTACCTGCTGACTGTATGCATTAGGTATCATTCAGAAGCTTAGAGGGCAATCTTGTATAAATTAAAACTACCAGTAAAAAAAAGTGCTCACAAAACAAATTTTCATAAATTTCAGAATATAAACATTCAGAATATTCAGCAAAGGAAGCTTCAGTCCTCATACTTCTATTTAAAATCAATGAAATTCTCCTAAAAATTGATAGGTTTCCCAGTGTGTCCAGAATCCATTTCCACTCTTTTGTATTTATTATTTTTAATAATTTCTCCAATGAAGTTCAGTGAAAAAAATTATTCTCACTTCTGCAATTTTGTTTTAAATATCAATCTCAGTTATCTTTATCTGAAGCTCAGACAGCAGACAGACTATCAGGTAATATGCACAGAGCTGTTATATTCTGGACGCTAGATTTTGGCAAGAAGTTTCATGTTTCCTATACCGTAAAGGTAGAAACAAAGGTAAAATATAAGGAACGTAAAATATTTAGTTAACATTAAAGTCAATATTCAACGGATTTCATTTTACAGGGCAGACATTAGGCTTTTGCTTATATTTAGGGTCTTCTTTTCCTCCAGCAAGCCATGGTTCAATCAGCATTTGGGCTTCATGTTTAAAGCAGGGGCAGAATTCCACAAAAATTCGTATTTTTGAAAAAGTTACTGCAGAAATACAGGACTCAAAGCATGTTTTCCTTTCAAAATTTTAAACAATCCAGCGAAGCAGCAAGAGGGACAAGGGCTCAGTGGCAGCCGCCGGAGCTGGGCTCAGTGCTGGCGCTCTCAGCCCCCAGCCTGGCACCTTCACTCCCAGCACAGCCCTGCAGCCGGTGGGCAGCGCACAGAGCGGGAGCTGCTCCTGGATTTTGATAAACAAAGTACTTTTATTTGCGTTGAGTGCTGTTTTTCCAACACCAAAGCTAGTGGCACAAGAGAGACTCTACTGGCCCTAGGACATTTGTTTGCATACTGAATCTTAACTTTCTTCTTTTATTACTCTGGCTACTGCAATAACATTTTCCCTAATTCTATTTTCCTGTAACCCACCCCTTCTGCTGAAATTAAATATTAATTTCTAAAAAAAGACAACAAAGGCTTTAAGCACTATTCTTCAAGGAGAGGCATGGGGCACTAAAATGCAGGACGAGGTAGAATTAAAACCAATCTATACGGTGGTAGAGATCACGGGAGGCTACCGAAAACATGTACTGGGCAAGCGTATGCTCAGCATTGTTATGCAAGGTGGCATCTTGTGGAAACCCCAGATAAGAAGACTGAGTTAAGGCACTTAGCCAAAATGTTTATATGCAGAATTTTGCTTCCCTGATTTTATTCAGATGCCGCAGATGATCCGGTACATATAAATGTGCCGCCACATGGTTAAGGGATTGGCAAAATCAGAGACGTTGTATTTTACAGTCTTGCCTAGGACGAGAGAGTCTTGCTCAGCCTCCACCGCTTGCTCTCTGCTTTTTCAGCAGTTGGCAGTAACTCCTGTCGGGGCTTTTTTGTTGTTTTGCACATGGAAACTTTAAAATTCCAGTTTTCTGAATGTTTAGTGTTTTGCGGGCTCGGCTACAATGGGACAGAGAATGTCTGTCCTGCTGAGTCAGTTAGCCAAACAGGTGACCGGAGGAATAAATTAATTTTTGCCATACATAATTGATATAAATGGAAGATCGTTTTCATAAGCATTTGCATTAAATCAATAAAATCACTTACTATACAGCAGTTTAACAATTCATTTGATTTTCTCTTTTCTATATATTTGATAGCCAATCTGCAAAACAGTATACACTTTATGCCTATTTTCTTTAGCAGCAACACTGCCAGTTAAATTCTACCACCTGCAATAATTAGAGCCATTGGAAAACATACAAAACAAAATATACAGTAGATGCGAGCCCCTCTTGAATCCATGGCCCCCTGCGGCAACGAGTTTCATTGGTGCCTTAAGCTAAGGCTGGTAGGAAGCCAAAGAATCTGTATATTACAATAAAGTGCATGTTATTAAGGGGAGGATTTAAACGATTTCAGATGGAGTTGGAAATATTATAGTGAGGAACCACTATTAAGATTGCTGATTTAAAAAAAAAAATCACCAAGGAATCTAGTTTTATATTTAAGGAAGCTTAACCTTGAATAGCACAATGGGTTTTATTTGGGGGCTTTTTTAGTTAACGAAAAGTTAGTGGTTGGAATTTTTAACCCTGAACTAGCTGGTGTTACCGTGAGTATGTACACTGGAGTCAAGGTTACTGGACAAGAGAAGCTCAAGGGGATCTGGTATCTACTGTAATCATGCGGAAACCAGATAAAAAGCATGTTGAAGCCATTTTACTCTCTACTTCCAAGAATCAACTATGATTAATGGATAAAGAAAAAAAACCCAACAAAACAGGCGAGTTTTTCCAAAGTAGCATTTCCTACTACGTCTCTATTCTCTGTTCCTGTTTGGATCTGTTTCTCAAGCATATGCTACCCCAGCACGATGGAGTTGGTTACACCCAAGACCCAGGTCTGCCTGGTCTCAAACTATAAGCAAGGCAGAGGGACCTTCAGCTCCAGGACAGAAGCTCTGGACTTTTCAATACGCAATTTTCCTTTTCAGCTGCAGCAGAAGCGCAGCTCCAGCTGGGCTGCACGATGGCTGCGTGGAAGCAAGGCTCGCGGAGCTGGAAGGGAGCGCTCCATTGTTTGGAAAGAATAAAACCTTCCCAGGAAAGTCTGGCCCGTGGACAGGACCAATGTCAACAGACTGACAATGTTGTTCTTTTTTGTAGACTGTGACACAGACGGTGAAGAGTTGTTACACTCCTCCACCAAAAAAGCCCGCTTTGAGTGTCATGGCACTTCCCAGTGCTAAACCACTTCACGGCCACCTGACTTCGGAGAAACGAGATGTTTTCTTGGGCACTCGCACTTTCTCGACATGCCGTGTTTTCCAGGGCGTGCTGAATCCAGCCTTGGGTGGCAGTGACCTACAGGGACCGGCCTTATTGTCTGCTGGTCTGCACAAACTGAATTGACGGGTGTCAAGTCTATTTTTTACCTACGTAGAGCCAGCCCCCACCAGAAACTGAGCCCTCGCTAGCAGCCAGTGTGCTAACTCAGGTGCAGATGCATCTATCCTCTAAACAGTAAAGGTGATCCCCACATGGTGGAGACAAAAAATGACCGGCGATGCCAGACGAGCAAGGCTGCGTTGCCACTGCCCATGCTGAGTCTGCTCTGCAGCTAAATAAAGCGGGCTCCCTCTCCTCCGCTGTCAGCCCAGCACCTTGCAGAAGCACCGCAGAAGTGCACAAGTTAAATTTTCCATTCCTATCATGTTTTAAGGAGGGGGGGGGAATATTGTATAATAAACTGACATATTTTATTCAAGTTTCAGAGTCCTATTTGTAATAAAAAATTTATATGGCTGGGTTGTGTTCATGCAATAAATTTTTCATCTATAATTTTGGGCATGGATTCTACCAAAGATTTATATATGTTTAAAAAAAACATCTAAATCATGCTCCTTTAGATACAGTCTTACGTGGTAAGCTTAAGGGATTTACAAACAGAAACCAGCACCAGGACTGAGGCTTTTTTATACTCACTTTCCCTTCATTA